CCGCTTCACAGGCTGTGTCCTGTCCTGGGCTGCTCTCGGCTGTGCCACCAGCGGGGCCGGTAAGGGCGGCTGCAGGGGGACAGGGGGGCTGCCTCCCCTGCACGCTGGGCATTGGAGCGAATGAAGGGCAGCCGGGCTTGTCGCTCTCGCACAGAAACCTGCCGACCGAGCCCAGGTCTGCTTCGTCCTCGCTGCCCGAGAGAAGCTCCGGCAGGGCGAGATGCCCACCAGCGGGCCAGCGCAAGGAGGCGTCTCCGGGCACCCCACGTGGGGCAGAGCTTCCCGTGCCAGGTCCTGGCCTGCCGCCCACCCTCGCTGTGATCTGCCCGTTTGTGCTGGCGTGGCAGTCCCTCCCCGGCACGCCGTCCCCTTGTTCAATGTCACTGAGACACTGCTCCTCGGCTGTGGCCAGGGTGGCCGGTGCAAGGTTGCATTCCTCCGACACCAAGAAGAACTCAGCCCAGTCCCTGTCGTTCAGCTGGATGCTGTACTCGAAGTTATCCATGCCTGCAGCAGCAAAGCAAGGGGAGGGGACCAGAGAGATCAGGGCGTGAGGAGGGGGCACCAGCATCAGCAGACATAGGATGCCCCTAACCCTTTCCCCCAGGTTCCTGCCCTGCATCCCTGACACCTGCATTCACTCATCCTCACTCGTTTCCAGCTGAAATCAGTGGGAGGAAGGGCAGCTCCTGGCAGGCTCAGCAGGACAGGTATGGCTGTGCTGGACCATAACCCAGCCAGCAGTGAGAGAGAGACCACTACTACCCCCCTCAGGTCCCTTCTGCCTCTGCTCCCCGAGCACAGCACCAACAACGGGTTTGGGATTCTCTCCACAGCAGCACAGCAGCATTGCACCTCCCATACCCACTCCCTTTGCCTACAGCCCATTTAAAAAAAGTGGTGGATTTACGCTCTCGAGCTGCTGCCACAGCATCACGTATGAAGCACAGTCCAAACAAGGACATTTCAGCAAGCCACGGCAGCCCCTTCCACACCCGTGGCTCTGGGGAGGGAGATGCAACAGAGCCCAAAACCAGTAGGGGGGATCCAGCGGTAGGAGAAGAAGCAGAGAGATCACAAAGCTGCATCCTACCTGTACCACAATCTAAGCCGGTGATGGAGCCATTCAAAGAGCCACGCAGGAAAATCCTCCCAGCACAACATGATGCTGTACCCTTGACGGGGGCAGAGAGCTCGGCTCCAGCACAGATCCATTCAAGGGCTAAAAATAGACACCACCACCCCCCCTCCGTCCCCAGTGTGTCACTTGAGATCTGAGTGTGATGGCCTCAGAGAGGGCAGGGCCATATATAGAAGCTGGCGGGGAAGATGCGAGGGTGCCAGCCAATGTGTTTCTGTCCCACAGCTTCTGGGGTCTCTGGGACCACTCCTGATGCCCTCTGCTCGCTTCTGCCCTCTGCCTGGGGCCGCTCCGTGGGACGGCCAGCAGAGCAGGGGCCCAGGCCACAGAGCTCCCAGCCTTTAGCGCAAGCCCGAGCGTGACATCTGGATGGCAATGACTGCTCTTTTTTCAACACGCCCACCAACTCTTTGCCTCAGTCTACAGGTTACCCATTTCTCTGGTGATAAAAACATGCCTCAGGGGCGTCGTTCGCCTGTTGATAGCACTCCTAGGGCGTTCATGGCCAGCCTGCTGCAGATTTACATCGAAAGATCACAGCCAGCATCACCGTCTTGTGACAAACCTTGCACGGTGCCTGGCAGCCACCCCATGCCGCCCAGGAACGTCTGGTGTGGGTGGCAGAGGGAGCCTTGGGTTGGAGATTCTGGGTGAGCCTGGCACAAGGGAATTACAGGGGAAGCGACTTGGCCAAGGCTGGCCTGACGGGTCAGCAACCAGAGCCAGAAATAGCCCTCAGCTCCTGCGAGTCCCAGAGCCCGCCTCCCACTGCATGTCCCAGGGGCCAGAAATAGATGCCCTGAAGTAGCTGCCCGTGACAGTAAGCCCGAGGCCCTGCTGCCCCGAGGGGACCCAGTCCTGACCCAAGGTTCTGGCCACCCTTTGGGTCACCAGGTTTCTGTAGACCCCAAACTGGAGATGGCCAGCTGTGTAGATGCTGCGGGAGCCAAGAGGCACCACAGTCCCGCCGAGGACCCCCGAGATGGATGCAGAGCACGCGATGCGTGCTCTGCA